AGACAAAGAAAGGCTGCTGCTACCTACACTGGTCTGTGCTTAGCAAGATCCGAGAGCTAGCGCTGAGGCAATCAGCTGAACACCTCTGCAGAGTGAATGTGGGCATATGGCTCCCCTAACACCTTTCTGCTTCAGCTTTCTGGGCTGGGAACTGGCCTCAGTGCAGACATCTCTCTCATCTCTCAAATGGATTAACAGCTGAAAGAAAGAACTGAAAAGTGCTTTTTCTTCCATGCTTCCCCAATGCTTCTGGTTGCTGCTGTAATAGGCAAATGGGCTTATGCTGGCACAAATGCATCAGTAAAACTACCAGGCAACAAGCCCTGTACCTGCCTCCTCCTTAGCTGGGTCCTCTCCCAGAGCTCTAGCAGCGTGACAAGAAACCAGCCAAGCCCAAAACAGCAGGAACTGCATGCTGACCTGCAAGGAGGGCACAGAATAAACTGTACAAATACCAGAGCCAGTGTGGAGCTGGAAGCCCAGGGAAAAATCCTGAAAGCTGATCAGCAAACTCTGCAACATGTTGGCAGGATACAGTTCAGTCCATACCTCTATTTGCACTACCGTGTTTCTCTACCACCTCTCCCTTTTGAATAAAGGCAGAGTGAGAAAAAGACCTAGCTTCTTTGCCACAGCCCCCAGGCACACAGGAAAGGTTCACGGGAGTGGGAGCGAAGGCAAGGCTGCCCAGGAATGTCGGGGAGCATCTGGGAGCAGCAAGAGGCCAGCTCTGTCTTGCAGCTGAAGAAGCACAGATGGTAAGAGCCCTGGAAAAAGGGAAAAAGAGGACGGAAAGGCAGGGGTATGTAACAGAAATGCAGCAGATCATGGGTTTTTATGTGTTTAAGGCTGATGTGGGTTGCATATAGATAGGAAGGTTTGCACCTCAAATAGCGACAGCTGCACTGCACATACAGACTGGAGGACTGAGCGAAGGTGTGAGAGATATAGAGAAGTTTCACTTATGCCAGAAGTTTAGACTGTGTGTTCAGGCAAGAACAAGGCAGAGCCGGGCACTTTCCCTTAGGCCCAGGAACTGCTATGAGGCCCACTCAAGACTTTCCTCAGGGCTAGCTGCTTTCAAGTAAGAGTAAAAAGTCTGTGTATCTAAGTGCTATATTTTCCCAGAAGCCTGCTGAGTGACACTAAAAGGCACACAACAACTTCTCACATTTTAGCTCGCTGTCAGGGCAATGTGACCAACTTGCAGCCCAGTGTGAGAGAAGACCTGTGCACCAGCTGTGCCTTCTTGGTTTAACTACCCTGAGAACAGTGCAGGGGACAGCGAAGCACCGCCAGTGGCCCCGGGACTGCTCCTCAGCGTCCCACGGGCCCCCCCCTGGCCATTGCCCTGCGGGGACAACCGGTGGAGAGCAAGGCGTGACCTGCAGCCGCCGGATGTGGTCTGCGGCCGGACATGAAGGCCGCCAGGGGCCGCCACGCTCCAAGGAGGCCTCGGCTCTGGCCCCAGCCCCGATCCGACAGAGTGGGCAGGCTGCGGGGAGGACGGAGCCACGGAGACAGGCCGCGGGGCTGGGTGCGGGAGGGGACGGGCACCGCCGGCCCCGGGAAAGGCTTGGGGGGCAACTGAAAGCAGCAGCCCGGCCGGGCAGAGGCGCCCTGCCCGAGACAGCCTCACCTCAGGGGCTGTGCCTCTCTGCGTCCCCAGGGATTTGATTACCAGATGAGGTAATCCAGGTGGCCACAAACCAAGTAATCTTTTAGGACTGGTGTCCTCAGCACCACTTAGGACAGCCCTGCTCATGATGTCGCCCTGCCCTGCCCAACCTCATGCCATTAGCAGGGGCAAAGGATGTCTCCCGTGGAAATACACAAATCTGGGAGACATTTCCTCATTCTGATGGACTGTATGCCAAAGAACCATACCCCCACACAGTGCTCTCATCTGCTAGCTGGACTGCCACATTCATGATACATGGCCCTAGACAAGGAAGCCAATCTAAAGTAACATGGCTTATAAACAGCTTGGGATGCTGCAGGGTGAAAGTGTTAAAAAGAGATGTCACAGTCACAATAAATTTACTTCAAAAGCCTGTGAATTTGATGATTTGCTTGGGAGCCAAATTTCCCAGCCCTTTATAAGCTCTTAGGACTGATGAGTCAGATTCTCACAGAATCAGATTTTATGATCTCATGTGACACAGCCTGCTTCAGGATGCCTGCTCCTGACCCTCATCCCTGCCACGTGCTCCTAGCTTGGAAGAAGTCATGACCCCCTCATTTGAAATCAGCCTGCTTACAAAATAAACTAGGGCACTTGGGTGATTTTCTTAACATCAGAAAGACTGGACAATGACAAGTGATTGGTTTGTTTCACATGCTTAGCTGTGCACTTCAAACACTGCTATCTACTCTTTGTAAGCCTTTCACATAGACAGATACTAGATACTTTACAGGGGATTACTTTATCACTGCGCAATGGGAGGCTTCCCTGTCTTCCCCTTAAAATCTGATTAATGTTGTTTTCAAGATATCTGGGGTTGAGAATAGCAGTTAGGCAATTTCTAGCTCTCATGTGATGGCACCACCATTCTTCAGTTATCACAGTACTGTACCTTTCACGTATACAGCACCGGTACCATGATAACCGAAAAAGGACAGTTCATAGTCATATTATTTGATGCCATTGTCAGATAAACAACCCTCCCTCCACTAGAGCAAAGGAAAACTGCTCAGTTTCTGGGAGTAACCGTGATCTACTCAATCACTTGTCAGTTTGGTAGAGTAATGGAAAGTTTTGATACTGGATGCCCTTTCCCTAACCTGTGTGTTGCAAGGAGCAATGCAAAAAAATTTAGTCTTTTTCTGTCCTCTGAATCACTACCAGCCACAGACAAAGCTTTAATAAGAACTGAGAATGAAAGACTAGACAGAAGTCTGCTGCCCAATACGGCTAAGGTTTTGGGGTTGCACATAGCCTTATGAACTGAACTCTTAAGCTGTTTTCTATGAACAATCATAGCTTTAGCATTTGGCTAGCCATCTGAAGCATGCTATTTAATGCCACAGCTACAGACAGATTACTAGGAAAACACAGTAGCGTACGCTAGGCAACAAAAAGCAAACTGAAGCACACATACAATCCAGGACCAAGAATGAAGAAGAAACCCCATCTCTGCAATTCCCAGAACAAGGAATAATATAGGGAACAATCGTCTAACATGTAGAAATAAATACTAGGTAACACTACCTGCCTCATTTGAAGATGGGTACAAGTTGTTCTATTCATAGCCACAGGCAAAGTCTTCCATATACAAAAACAGCTGTGCAGTAAAACTAGCAAATTAAACAAGACTGGTTAATTAAACTGAACAGAATTACTTACGTGTATGGAGACAGAGGTCCTAACAGGACTTTGGAAACATCTCGTTGTCCAAGGGTCATGAGGAGCAGAGCAAGGCTCTGATTTGTTGAATCTACACAGCCTCCCTGCAAAGCAAAATGTTTTAATAATTAATCTCTGTACAAACCAGAAACTGGGATGGGAGAACAGTAACAAAGATAAAGATACACTTAAAAGGCTGAATTACTGCTCCAAATTTTCAAGGGCCAAAAAGATAAAAATCTAGATTTTGTAACAATGACAAATTAATCTCACATGGCAGGCTGGGAAAGGAACAGAACTAAAATAAAACCCAGTAAAAAAGTCACATTAAAGATCCCTCCCATCTCTCCCAACCTGTTCTATTCTAACATCACAGAGCGTAAGCACTGAAGAATTTCTTTGCAGTAAACTGAAAATAGGTATTATAGTTTATGAGCATTTGAAGACACAATGAATTGCAGCACTTTATAACTCTAAAAAGTTACATGCGGACAAATAGTTCAGCATTAGCAGGCGCAAAACAGCAAGTTAAAAGTTGTTTTGCACACAACACCTAAGCCTTTGCTGCTAACTTTTGTGGTTTTACATTGTAAAGCATTTTTCCCCCATATGGGGAGATTATTTTTTTATTGCCATGCCAAAGAGCCACGCATTAAATTCTGTACTCTCGTACATATTTGACTGTATTAAGTCATATATGCATGGTAAATAATTTTGTATGTGGAATGTGTTAACTATGATGCATACATACATTAGAATTGGAAGGTTTTGTTTACAAAGCTTGAAAGTTAATTAAAAAGGATACTTTCAGTCAAGACTGCTGTAGAGAGAATTTACAAACTATGACTAGGCAAACACATTGAAAATAGAAAGAATACCTGGCATAACATTATTATGGACTGTCATCACATTCATCCCGATCAGCAGCCACTTGAAATCTGTTAACAGTTTCCTGCTGGATCAGACCTAATGCTAAGCCCTCTGAATATGCTCTCTGGAGAGCGCAATACTAAAAATTCATCCTTTTAAAACCAAATTCTCTAATGAGGTAAGCTGATAGTTACCTTTGTGTAACCTGCCATCATTTTAAGAAGTAACACTATCCAAAAGGGAGGGGCAAAATAAATTTTGGACTGCATAAATTAGGAAAACACAATGATGTGACAACCTTGGCACATGTACTCAGTCAGAGGGCAGAGGGAGGACCTTTCTCACGAGAGTTTCCAAAGGTTTGATTTTCAAGATGGCCTTGCTTCAGTGTGACAAGTCCCAGCTCCATACTTCTCAAAAAAGCCTCTGCACTTCATGCAATGAATGATACACAACAATGAAGGGAACATCTTTGTTACATTCACTGCCATGACCTAATTCTCAGCAACATGCTCCTACAGCAACCCTTGCCCTTCCGACTGTGTGAACCTGCCATGCCAAAGTGAAGTTCATGCACTCAACCTAATGCCCTCTATGAGACTGATAAAAATTGTGCTTTATCTTGAGCGAACAGGGGACCTGCAGAATTTGCTGGTGTGACCTATAGCCACAGCTCTCATCAGTATTTGCCAACCTGAGACATGTACAAGAAGCAGATGAGAGTTTGGAACGGAGTATTCCTGACACAGGATTTTCTGTATTTATAGTTCAGTTAATAGTTCAAAATGCTCTTTTATCACTTGGATGAAAACTTTAATTTTCTGAGCTTGTTTTTGATTTTCTAAAGCTGAAAACATCATAAAACATCTATTTTTACGACCAAACTTATACAAAAGATTCAATCAGCATGGAAACAACCATGCTGTAAACAATATAGCAGAACATGATGCACCCATCACATCCGAGATGCTTACATAAGCTCTCTTGCTGCAGTGAGTCAGTTGTCCCCACTATTGTTGTGCATTACCAATGTACTGTCATGCCCATTCCCACATAGGCAGTTGCCAGATAGAGAAACTAAGTTATCTATCTGAAATCTAATGATGACAGGACAGTAACTCCTGCCAAATGAAGGACACGCCACTCCCAAGGAGGCCAACTTTTTTCTCAATCCACCTGCCACTTACTCAAGAGCCCAAAATCAAAACCAACTCTCCCAAGAGAAATGGAATGGGCAAAGTCAGAGACAAAGTACTGACATTTGTTTCAAAATAGCTGTCACTCATTACCATCCTAGGATGCAGCTTCTAGTCTGAATTAATTCAGTTTATGGCAGTTTCTCCATTATTGTTTCCATTAACAACAGAGCCAGATTCAGCTGGATGTGACAACTGGAGACAGAGATCACTTAAAATCCAATCCATTTTGAATTGTTGTTATACAAATACCACATTTGACAAGTATATAGAAATTACTGCAACTCTGGGTATTGTACAACAGTGTTTCGAAGAGGATTATTATTCTGAGCTTGACACCAGCTTTGATTTAGTCTCGGTGATATTTTGGCATATACACAATTTCCTCCCTTACCTGTGTGGTACATACTTGCATGCCTCAGTAATTTGTTATGTGAAGTGCAGAGGGTTTGTTTTGTTGTTTTGTTTTTTTTTTTCCCAGAAGAACGGAGCAGAGCATTGTCACACTGAAGTAAGGCCATCTTGAAAATCAAGCCTTCAGAGAAATGCTTCCCTCACTTTAGCTGTAGTTACATAAAACAGCCTTACACCTCCTGCCTCTCTAAGCCCCCCTAACAAAACCTTTCTTAATTAAAGGTCTCAAATAGGTACTGCATCCTCCCCTATTTCTCGGGATCACAAGGAATCAAAAGGAACATTCAATCATTTTCCAGTTCTTCCAGGCCTTTCCATTCTGCCAATCACCTGTGTATAAAGCTCCCATAACTGATGCCTCTCAAAGACAAGAGAAAAATCCTTATTGGCCTTCTACAATTAAGCTTAGGTAAGAACTGCATATGGATTTGTAAAGACAATGCTAACCAGTCACCCCATCCCCCTCCTTCAGGGCCACTGTAATCAGCACTGTGCCACTTATTATCAGTCAGTTAGCTCCAACTTCCATCAACAAATATACATAAAAAAGCTCCACTGATTCCGAGAATCATACAACCTCTTTCATTTCTTTTTGAAGGCTCAGTAAAAGGAACCATTTAGCACTTAACATAGCAAGACTCAAATCCTTAGATTTCCTAGGTGGTAAAGTTCACATAACAGCAAGCATTAAGCAAGCACTTTCAAAGGTATCCCTGGGCCCCTTTAAACAGTAATGAACTCCAGCAGATTTGTGGGTGACCCCGACAGCTAAAACCCTTCTACAGAGAATTATCTCCAGTGCTCCCAGGATGCCCTTCTTTGGGCAGCCCTCCCTGGCTCCTGCAGGACAGTACCTACAGGCAAAGACACAGATGGAGAAACAGTCTCATAAAGAGAGAATCTAAACACAGGGAGACAAATTTTCCCTTGAGTCCTGCATTCAGTGACTAGCTGGTATAAAGAGAGTAGGACTTAAAGAGCGCCTCTTCACAGCAACCTATTCTTGCTCCACGCTTTCACAAATTTTTACTGTTTCACTAGACATCTTATCTAGGCAAAGAATTTTTCTAAAAGTATCTTCAAATTAAAAAAAATATAGCATGCTTTGCAACATGTTTATATATCCTTTCCAGGATCAACAGTAGGTCAAACTGACCTAAACTTAAAAAAATAAAATAAAATCTATGAGAAAGCCCAACTTTCCAAATTCCTGGCTAGCGCTGTGTGAGCATGTGTGTCACACATAAATTCAAGTGTGTATTCTGAAAACTACAGAACAAAACCCACCATACTGCCTACGACAGAGAGAGCAGAGAATTCTCAAATACTGAATAAGGACTGAGCACTCCAGTGGATAAGCAACACAGTAGCCAAAAATGCTAACAAACAAGAACTTCTCCTCCATGAGCTGCTGCAGTGGAGGACTACAACCAGTCCATACACTGCTCAGCACTGCAGAGTGCCACTGGTACCATAGCAGGCCACAGCTGTCACATCTTCACTCATACAGAATCTGATCTTCAAAGACACTGAAACCTCATGGCCTACCACTTTATCACCACTTTTCCTCCTCAAATGCTTTTTTTCCTGTTGTCCTGAGATCCTCACTATCCTGGTGCTTTGCAGAATTTGACTCATCATGTTCAAATGGCTGCAGCACACTATAGCAGAAAATTACCTGGTTCAGGACTTTCCAGCCCTCTTCATTTCAGAAGTTCTCTGAAGAATCACAGAATCACAGAATCACAGAATCACAGAACGTTAGGGACTGGAAGGGACCTCAAAAGATCATCTAGTCCAATCCCCCTGCTGGAGCAGGAACACCTAGATGAGGTTGCACAGGAAGGCGTCCAGGCGGGTTTTGAATGTCTCCAGAGAAGGAGACTCCACAACCTCTCTGGGCAGCCTGTTCCAGTGCTCTGTCACCCTCACTGAGAAGAAGTTTCTTCTCAAATTTAAGTGGAACCTCCTGTGTTCCAGCTTGTGCCCATTACCTCTTGTCCTATCATTGTTTGTCACCGAGAAGAGCCTGGCTCCATCCTCGTGACACTCACCCTTTAAATATTTATAAACATGAATGAGGTCTCCCCTCAGTCTCCTCAGAAGATCCTTCCTCAGAAGGTATAATATCTGGACAAATTCTCACTAGTTTCAATCTGTGAAGTGCTGGATGGTTTTCAAAGGAAAAAAATACCTATCGCTGCTAATAAAAGTACATAGAAAGTGGATTTTTGATTCCTCCAATCCCATGACTACCTGAAGATGTTTTCCAGGAGGTTTACACAAAGCAAATACACCAAATTTTACTGGGTTTTTTTCCTGGGGGTAGGGGGCAAGCTCAAAGATTTTACAATTCACCCCTCAAATAAAAATAACTATGTGTCACTACATAATTGTAGAAACAGACACATGTTTCAGTCACTAGTTGTGACTGCATTCACTATGCATGCTGGACTTTCAAACTCGAGGAGTCTGGACTGTATCCAGGAAGTATATTTGTTTGTGGCCTTTCTGTGAGATAGGAACCTTGGGTTAGAAAGGGAAAGACCTCCAGCAACATGGTACGTATAACGAATAAACAGAGAAAATATTAATGGAAGAGCAGAGAAAGGAAAAGTTAACATAGGCACAGGTGAACAATCTACTACAGGCATGGATGTGATTTATGAGGTTAAGGGGTATTTTTATAATTTGCTACATTACCTAATACAGAATCTCATTAATTGCATTTTTAATACTTTGCAAAGTCTTATCAGGTTATTCCAGTTCAGAGCAATTACTTCTTTAAAAACAGTGAGTACAATTTGTAGATGACTGCCTTCTAAAGGCCAAATGTGTTTCATCAGCTACTTAGCCTCAACATTTGTGGAGATACACCACAAAAGCAGGTAGGTTCTTTGATAAATCAGAAACTCACTATGATGCTAATTGCCAAATAATTTGTAAGATTGAAAGCTGCTCGTTCACTGAAAATCTCACTACAAATGAAAAACATTTTCATAATTAAAAAAATAACACTGCAGAAGACTGTGATGCACTTAAGATTCCCATGCAAACACTGTCCTAACACCTTTCCAACAAACCAGTCAGCCAATTCCTCATACAACCAACAGATTTCAGCACATTTGACTTTGTCGTCATCACCACAAAGTGGCCAGCATTAAGGCTAACTGCTTTTTTTCCCCTTCTCCTTCCTCATATGTTCTGCCACTAATAATGTCCCATTCTAACCACTAGTTTAAAAGCACTGACTCTATTTCCCCTCCAAGTTATTATTCATAAAGTGAATAATAGCCCACGTGAAACCACCTGAATTCTGTTGCAGACAGAAAGCAACAAAAGAAAAATATTTCACTACTACAACTTATAGAAACATCTCTTGGACATGGGAAATAATATGGCCCGGTAAGTCATTACACTGTTAATTGAACCATCCAAATCCACTCCTTACCTGGATGAAGAAGACACTGGCAGTATCAGATCATTTCTCTATTTGGATCTGACCCCATCTGAGGGTGCCCCTAAACCACCTCTTCCTTTACCAATATATCATCACCTTCTTCCCCTACAGCTATACACACAAAACATACTGGCCACTTACCCTGTAGACCTCCTCAAGCAACAGCTTAGCACAATTCTGGCCAAGTTCCTCGGGAACCACAGCTGCTCCCTGTCCCTGAGGGTTTGAGGCTAGCTCAGCACTGAGAATAGTGCCATTGATAGTTTCTGCAGTAAGGCACATGCCAAAACCTGGCGATCTGAAAGAAAGAGAGAAAATGTTTTTGATTTAAGGACAAAAATCGAGTAATAAGCCAAGAACTACTTCCAGTCAACCTCTTCCTCAGGTCACAGACAGCTCTTCTCACAGGACAATACAGGGAATCTGGACGTGCTGACAAATTTCATGTTCTATACATTTGATTCACCCTGGAAAAAACATTAACAACAGTATTTCAAAGTTAGACGGAGTTCTTCTTGCCCCAAACCCACTCTGCTGGCTACTCCTTGCCCGAACTCTTTAAAAAGGAAAAAAGGAAAGAGAAAAAAAATTAAAACATTTAAACTTCAGAAATACCCTCTACTTAAAAAAAATTAGTATCCTTCACATTTATTTAATTAATGGCTGATGAACTTTTCAAAGGTATCTGGAGTTTCCTCTCTGCAACATTTAAAACCAAACCTTCTTCAGGGACTGAGCTCTTTCCC